TGGAACACACTCATTCACTGTATTTTCTTTATGAATTGTACGATATTTAAAAGGAAAGGAATGACCTGGAAGAAGCAATACAATATTGCTAATTATCAGTCAACAATGCTGGTATATCTCAGACTTATTGAAATCAAGATGGAGGCAAGGCATACATGTACACCATAAACCCTTTACCCCTCATTTCCACAAAAAAAAAAAAAAAAWAAAAAAAAAAAAAAATCAGGCCAACAATAGCTGGTGTTGGCACTACTCAACATAGAGCAGTGGGAACTCAGCAAGTATAAAAATGTAGCACCTGTGGAGACCTAACACTACCTAAGTACTTCTAATACTATCCATAAAGCTTAGTTCTGTGAGTATCGTTCAGGAGTTTTGTCCAACTTTTTGCTTCATGAGGAGACATTTGCCTTGAATTTGTCACTCTGTTGAATAACTGGAGCCCTACATGTGGTTTCCTGTGCTAACCATCTCAAATCACAAGTGATGGAAATGCTMCACAGCAAAGTGAAGAAGTTCAGTTTAATGTCTACTTTTAAGGGAAGTTTTTTCCTTCCCTCATCTTTTGGGAAGGTTTTTGTCAAGGGCAACACCCCTTACCCCTGCAGAATCAAGTCCAAGGCTTTTCAGCACTGGTTTGTGAAGCTGTAGACTCTATCTCTGATATTTCTTCTGGCTTTATTCTTTTGAAAATAAAAAGAAGCTTAGAAGCTGGACCCAAAGGGCATGCCCAAGACTGTGGGCAGTACAAAAACAGGCAGTCTGAGGGGCAGCGTTTCAAGCACCAAGACAGAGTATCACTTCCAACGAATGACACAGCCAAGCGTGAAMAGAAGTTACTCCTTTATAATTTGGGAAAGAGGGTTTAGTCACTTCATGTCCATCTGGTAACCTCAAGTCAGGGAGTTTTCCTGTTCCTGCTTTCTCAGACATGCCCCTGGCTGACAGGAGCAGAGGAGTCGGCTTGGTACCAGTGTGCAGCAGGCTTGCACTTGAGTCTGGTGCTACAGGGGTGATGGGGACAATGATAAGAGAGGGCAGCATGCTCCAGAGAAGGGTAGATTTAACWTCTTACATAATAAAAAAGGAAATAATCCGTGTCAAAATCCGATGACTCGGGCCAAAATAGTGCATATTTTAGATGAAGGTAATAAAAAAGCACCATGAAAATATAAAAATGAGAGAAATAATATATTATTTGTTTGATACATCTGAATGACTAATAGATTGGGTTAGCAATGAATTTTTGATTTCTGAAAAACATTAAAATTAGATGAACTACTGGTTTGTTAATTTTTAGAAGAGCAATTCTCCCTTTTATGCAATGGAACAAAAAATGAGTCACTGCAGAGACAAAGAAACACAAACAACCATCAAGGTTCAAAGTGACATTGTAAAAGGATTTTCACCTTTAGGCCACTGCTGATTTTTAAAAGGGGAATTGAAACATGCCTTTGGGGAATTGTTTGATGTCCTAGGTCAGCTTGATCTCAAACACGGCTCAGTTCCTAAGAGACAAGTGCTTCTATCATCAGCGCTGCAGCAGCAGATAACCACCCTGACAAGCAGAAAGGAGCACCCTTGAACCWGCTTTCCTGGAAATAATGTGTCACAACAGCCATTCCTTTGCAAAATAGGAGAGGAGCTGTTTTCATCTCCCCAAACACCTAAAGCTGAGCTAACATTCATTGGATTCCATAATACAAACACAATTAATTTCCCCATCTCAGATTCTGAAGGCTTGCAGAGAAGGCAGATCCAGACCCAGGACTGTTACCTTAGGAACTGTTCTAAATCACATTCAAAGCATCATCAAGTACCTGTGATCATCAGATACCTCACTTTTTCAACAAGAATACCCTAGCACTGGTTTAGCAGGTTGCTTAATGATTTTTTAACCCTTTCAGACACTGAAGAAACCTGCTGTGAAAAAGTATGTTAACAAACCAAATAAATAAACCCAACCAACCTATACTGGCAAATTTTTGCCAAACTTAATTTGGGATTTAGTTTGCAAAAGAACAGCTTTATGTGCCACAGTCTGAATAAGTCCCTAATGAAAAAAAAAATGAACCCTTAAGAAAGATAATTGCATAATTATTAAAGGATAATTGCATAATTATTAAAGGAGTAGTCTTAGAATCAATGGTCACCTCAAACTGTAAAACCACATCATAAAACACAATATCACAAACCTCCCCCTTTCATTTGATTTATGCTTCACTGAAAAAGCAAAACAAATGTTATACAAATATTTTCAGTAGCTGAAAACTGGCTATCAGTACAAAAACACGGCTTCAGACATTCCTCACTGCTGGGCTGAACTGTTCTCAAAACAATCCAATGTAAAGGCCACTGACAGAAATATTTCTAATATTCTCCAGTCACAAAGCACCAGAGTGCTGYGTTTGGTGCAGATCACCTTGCTTGTGCTTTAGAGGTATTATTTAATCTTCAGTCTATGGTTTGCAAAGGACTCTGAACTCCTGTGGCTTTTCTCATCCTAAAATCTCAGAATAATCACTGCTGTTTAGTTGCACATGTATTCAACCAACATTAAAAATAACGTTTCATTGCATGTCCATTAAACATGAACATGCTGGAAATAGCAGAGATTAAGAAGTCACAGTCTCTTTGCCTGCCTCAGCCATGAACAGCTCTGATAAATGCACACAATGTTGCCCTCTGTGGATCTTTCAGACCAAATGGAGCAGRAGGAGCAGAATATTAATACCATCTAAAAAGATGAATCCCAGAATCTCTTTCACACTGAAAAGGAGAAAAATTCTGGAGAAATTATGTCAGAAATTTTTTATTGTTCAAGAAGTACACCGTATTTCCCTTCACTGTTGCAGAAAAAAAGCCACCAAGAATATTTTCAAGAAAATATTAAAATAAAATTGATGAAGTGTCAACACTTGGCTGCTTGTTGAAATTGGACAAAATTATAAAAGCTGTTACAGAGTGTTCAATTTGTTTCAATGTCATTATACACCATAAAGGCTCATTCAAGCAGGGAGAATACTGCAGACAAGGCATGAAGATTWGAAGATGTCTTAGACTTCTCCCTGGAACAGTATAAAATACAATCTAAAGCAGTTGAAATTCTTTTAGTGGAGCTAATTTCTTCTCACTGGGGCTTGATGAAGAAAAGGAGAATCAGTGTTCCTTTATGCTGCAAGAACACTTTGCTATTTGCTTAACGGGAAGTTAAATGAACCAAAGCCTCAGACAGGAAAAAAMCCCTACACCATCAATTAATGTGACAAATTCTTAATAGCAAAGCAAATCTGATTTATTTAAAAACTGAGGTCTTGGTTCTGATGTGTTCATATTTCCCCAAGGYTGAGCTTAGTTTATATTTGTCATAGTTTATGCATTCTGAGGAGTACAGCTGTCCATGGGAGAGGKTTTTTTGCTGTGCTGCTCCTGCTGAGTAGCCCCATGACTGATCAAGAGGACCAAGCTGTAGCTGCTTGTGCTCCAGGTGCACCACAGCTGAASAGAAGTGGTGTGCAAGAGCTCAATTCCCACTGGCATCACAAGCACCACTCACATTATCAACTGAAACAAGGCATTTGAATGTTAACTTTCCTCTCTTTTCCTTAAGCTGTCACATTCAGATGGGAAGCACGGTGCAAGTCCCTGAGGACCATCTGGAATGCTCCCAGCACCTTACCTGGGAAATAATTCCGACACCCTTGCATTTTCTGAACACAGGCTGAGTGGTGAGTTCTTACATTCCAGCTACAACACAGACATGTTGGTCTGAAATTCTGGACCAGGCATCTTTCCACAGGCACTTCCAGGCTGTGGAGGATGATGCACAGCCACAGCCTCTYGGCAGTGCTTACAGTCTCTCAAATCAACCCGGCACATCACTGTCACAGCTGCATGAACAGATTCCACTTCAGCCAGAAAGCAGGACAGCAGCTGAAGATGAATCCCTAGCTGTTTAATAATATCCATTGATCCATACTTGTTGCCCAGCATAGATATTTTGATTTGAAAATTAGACATCCATACATTTATCGAAGCAGTCAACTTTATGGTATCTCTGTACACCCTAAGTGAGTGAGAAGCAAAGGCTTGTGACTATAAATAAGAATAATATAGTCCATGATTCAYGGTCTTCCACAAGGTAAAAAACAAGGCAGTTAATAAAATATTAAAAGATTCTAAGCATATAGTAGCAAGTAGTAAAACTAGCATGAGAAATGGGCCAGCCTACTKCAGTCATAAAACACAGGAGAAAAAGAACCTTAAAATTTAAAACTGATCATAATTTTTTTAATATCACTGTTACAAAACTTTTCTTTCTGCTATTATTCAACCGGAAATTCACTAAGGCTTCACCCAGGCAGGGCTCCAGTTGGGACTCTTGTGCTCTGAAAGCCTCTGTGCTAGTGTGGGGTCTCCTGCATGGGGGGGCTGCCAGTGGTAGATCTCTCTTACAGCTTACAAGCTGCTTTGCCAACAAGCTGCTCCTCACTTGGAGCCAGATACAATCCTGCAAACAAACCCCTAAACTACTTCAAACTTTTCAGAATTTTACCCCTTTATCACACCTTAATGGCTCATAACATTTTAAATGTCACATCTCAAAAAACATAGTTTCCCCAGCATATAAAACAGAGAGAAAAAGCCTGAATTTARAAGGAAAATTAATAATAATTTAAAAAAATTATTCTGCATTGSAGAATTCCCCTCTGTCTTGGTTTACTATTTATAAACCACCAATCTGGGATTAATTATTATAAATCCTTAAAGCCGAAAAGAAGATTTTAGGCATTTTATTCTACGTATAATCTATATCATTATTAAACTGCAGTTCAAATGCACTTTATGTCCTATTTCTGCTGGTCACCTTTTAACATTTATGCATTTTACTTTAGAAAATTTTACTCCCTGGCAGAAAGCATTTTTTTACATTCAATAGATGAGCCCACTGGCTCAGCTCAGTGGGAGCAGTGTCCCCTGGAGCCACTGGGGACACTCACCAGGCACCCCGTCTCTCATCCAGTAGGCGATGTCAGTTCCATCCGCGTTGTTGTAAACATCCGTAGCATTGATGGGCTGCAGCAGAGTCATGATCTCTTTCACGATGTCCCGGGCTTCAGCACTGCCAGAAAAACCCAGACCAGATGGCTTGAAGGTGCCCTCATCAGACTCCATAACGATGTCAAAGTTGGAGATATTTTCCTAAATGTGTAAGGAAAGAAAGTATTGTGCTGTGATWGTCATTTTATCTGGCATCATAGGCTGGATTCTAGGTGTGACCATACCACAACAAATTTGTTTAAATAGCAGAAAGACACTTCCTGTGAAAATGTGTACATAATCATAAATGAAGGGACCTATCTTTGCATGAGAAAATGCTGAAACAGTTCAAATTACGTTCTGAGGCACCAGTATTCTATAGGAGCCATAACATGACTGGTTGTCCAATCCTGCTGTCTCCAAATACTTGATTCAAGACTTCTGAAGTGCCCCCCAGAAAGGTAAGCCATCATATTGCAGTTTTTATTTGCAGCTCTCCCTTTCTTCTCGCACCTGAGACTGAAATTCTGTTGCAGTGGAGAGGGTGCACAGTCCTGTGGCTTTAAAATTAAAGGCATTCAAAGCCTTCATAGACTGGAAAGGACATTCCATTAAAAAAGCCAGCTGCTGCTTGTTCAGAAACGCATTATTTTCAGTATRCCATATAGTCAACTCTGATATCCATTGGAGGATTGAAATGCCAAGGTTTTCCACTGGACCTGAAGGAATAATATATAATTTAAGGAAAATTGGTGCTTCCAAGGTAAATCCTCACCATGAGGAAACATGAAAGGTAAGATTTTGTGTACAAATAGCATAAAAACATTTGCTTTCAGTGTGTACTTGGAAGTATCTTTTTAGCTAAAAGAACAAAAATTAGCAATTTATTTGCTTACTATATTTGCTTAGATTGCTCAKTTACAGGAGGACTTTTGCCCATTTTTAGAGCAACTGAAATGAGGAGAAGCAATAAGGCCAGGGAAAGAGACTGTTCAGGGCAGTTAAGTGTGGAGAAGAGTGAACATGGCAACAATGCGGATACCTAAAAGACATCTCACTTATCACTCAGAACAACAGAATCCATAAGTTCAAAAACCTAATAAACTGCTAGTATTGCAGAATTGCTGTACTCTTGAGTTGTGTTTTCTCACATAAATGTTTGCGTGTGTTTTTAATATGAAATTGAGTAAACAACCACCCACAATACATTACACCATGTTGTTGTTCTGTAAGAAAACTGTTCAGTTCTGAGAATGTGCTGGAGAGGCACAAAAACAAGACACCATAGGGAGAGAAACTGACTTCACTGGGGAACAAAAAAGTAACATGTCATAGCTACTTGAAGTACCATGTGTTTTTGAGAAAGCTTTTTCCCTGTTTGGTCCACTAGAAGATAGGATTACTTATAAAACTACTCACCAAGGAATTTGAAAGTTGCAGTCTTAAAAAAAGTTAGATGGGTTTCCCCATTCCTACTTTTGTTCATGCTATATTGGCATTTCAAGTTACACAGAAAGAAACTCGTGCTGGAAAATGTGCCTAAAATATACTGCTCAAAAATAGTGAAGATGCTTTGTCATCAATGGCCATCTCTGATGCAGGAATAACTGCCACTGACAAAGTGGGGTGAGACCATACACTGCCCCTTGGCTAATTCAAGGGAACAGAAAACAAACCAGAAAGATTTTAAAAAATAACTGCAGGCTCAGCTGTTTCCTTCCGTCATTCTCCTAGTGAATGTACCATTTAAATAAGCATTTCAAGCTCAGTATGTAATTTTTTTTTCAGAAAGTAATCTCATTTGCTGCATCTTGATACTGTGCCACTTCTCTTGGTATGTACCAGAAAATTAAAACTTGTTTGTATAACCTGCTGCCTAATTCCCAGAACATCAAAATAAGACTTTTATCTTTTACCTTCTTATGACTTGGTCACAGARGAGGTCACCTCTCTTTATCTTTAGCTCTTCAACTGAATCTTTAAATGAACATTACAATAAATACTGCATGGGAAAATTTGCTTTCTATAGCTTTCTGTTTTCATTGAATACACAATTAGGCACAATCCTTGCCAGTACTTAGCCTATTTTTAATTTTTTAATTTTAATTCCTATTATTTCTGTTTTCTCTATAAACAAACTATTTTTATTTCTGCTAAGCAAAACTAAAAATATAAGTACTTGTTATCTCTAAGGCAAAACCCTGATAACATGAAATCACAGAATCACAGAATGGATAAGGCTGAAAGACCRCAGTAAGTCATCTGGCCCAACCTCCTTGCTCAAGCAGGGTCATCCCAGAGCACATGGCACAGGATTGCGTCCAGATAGTTCTCGAATATTTCCAGTGAGGGAGACTCCACACCTTCTCTGGGCAACCTGTTCCAGAGCACCCACACAAGTAAACAAGTTCTTCCTCATATTCAGGTRAAATTTCCTGTGCATCAATTTTCCTGTTGCCTCTTGCCCTCCCTTCAGATACTGACAGACATTGATGAGGTCCTCTCTCAGTCATGTCTTCTCATCACCTTTTTCACCCTCTGTTGAACCTGCTCCAGGAGCTCCACATCTCTCATGTGCTGAGGAGCCCAGAACTGGACACAGCACTCCAAGTGAGGCCTCACTGGAGCTGAGTAGAGGGACAGGATCAACTCGCTCAACCTGCTGGCAATRCTCTTCCTAGTGCACCCCAGGATAYCTTYGGCATTTTTGGCCACAAGGACACAGTGCCAGCTCATKKACAGCTTGTTGWCCCCCAGGACCKTCTCCATGGAGCTGTTTTCCAGCAGGTCAGCCCCATCCTGTGCTGGTGCCTGGGGTTTTTCCCCACCAGATGCAGGACCCTGCASTGCCTTTGTTGAATTTCAGAAGGTTCTTCTCTGCCCATCTCTCCAGCCTGTCCAGGTCCTTCTGAAGGGCTGCACAGCCCTCTGGGCTATCAGCCACTCCTCCCAGCTTWGTGTCAGTGGATCTCCTGAGGAGGCATCTGCCCCTTCATCCAAGTTATTGATGAAAAGTTAAACAACACTGGGCCCAGTATGGAACCCTGAGAGACACCACCAGTGACAGGCCCCCAACAAGACCCTGTGCCACTGATTACAACCCTTTGGGATCTGTTGTTTAGCYAATAATTACAATAAACTCTTTCCAATTAAGAAAACAAGCCATTGTAATATGTATGACTGGTATTTTTTTTTGGTAGGAAACATGTTCCTTCTAGGATAGACACTGGCAATCCCAAGCAGGTGTACTCTACAGTAGCYACTTATTCAGTCAAAATCCCAATTGTTAATTCTTAGCAGATGTTAAACTGGACTCCAACATCTCATGGCTGACCCATCGAGTCACTGATGGCAATCCCTCTTACCCAGCTACAGYAGGGACATACCTGAAAGTATAATGGAGGGAACAACTGTCCTAAAAGCCTTCAGTACTTTGGGGATATTTAAAATATTATTTTACTTGCCCAACAGCTCATTTACTGGTTTTCTTTTAAGTTCCACTGAGAAAAAGTACTACTTTACAGGAAAAATACTAAAGCCGGCAATGACAAAGCACCATCCTTGACTAATGGTTCATTTGTTCCAGTGATAAGGGACATCAGTTAATCCGACACTGTGTTTTCAGCTTTCTGTTATTGATTTACACTTAACTGTAAGAAACAACAGCACTTGTTTTCCAGTATTTGTCTCAGAGCAGTCAGGAAACAAGTGTAGCATGGCAACAACCGTGTTGTAGAACTCACAGGGAACTGATAGTCATCCCACTTGTAGCACTAAAAGGAGGTTTAAATCAGCACCCAGCATTGTTAGGYTGGCAACTAAGACTACGGGAAAGACAAAAAACCCACTGAAAACACCTAAGTGCATGTGACAGCTAGAAAAGGAAAAGTAAAAGGAAAAGAAATAACGTCCTCTAAGTATTTAATAATATATAAACATGATATTGTGTAATTTTGAGTTGCTGTTTAGTATGAAAATAATTTAATGAAGCAAAACAGCATAAATTGCAACTAGAGAAAAAATATAGCAGCTGTTAGGAAGCAGAGATGTTCCAGCATCAAGGCATAATAACCACCAGCCACAAGTGTGATCATACCATTTACTCTCTTTTTTCAAAGAAGACAGAGAAAATGGGGAACACTGTGAGTTATTCATTTTTGTAAATGATCCCATCATTATAAGAGAGAAAGCTACTGTATTGCTGAAGATTAGCACAATTTTTGCTGGATGACAAGGTATGAATAAGGCTCATCCTTTTGTTACACAGTAAAATATTCCTCTGCCACATCTTATGGAAAAGAAGTATGTAAAAAAGTCTACAGGTTTAACCATTTGTTCTGTGTGACAGTTACAAGTTCTGATCTCTGAGAAGTCAATGACAAAAGTCCCAGTAACTTCAACAGCCTGGAGCAATTTGGTCATTTACTTATTAGCATTTCACTCAGTGAAAACGTACTGCTGGCATGTTTTGCCTTGTACAATACTGTGACTGTTTCCTCTACGATGACTTGCCAGCACTCACAGAGGTGACCATTCAGTATTGTGAGTTTCCTGGGACGATAGACAAGAAAAAGCAGAGGGCTCTGAACATGGCAGCAGGCTAAGCCTAAAGTCTTGTCTTGGGAGTTTTTTTGTTGACAAAGGGGTATATCAAAGAGAAGTGCTCTCCCTGGAAAACGTTCTGCAACTTTAGCCCTTTTACTGCTCAAATACAAAGGTATCAAAAACAATGTCTTTCTTTCTATGGAAGGATTATTAAAAATTRTGGTTTACATCTTTCAACCAAAGATGATGTTTACTCTTTCAGTAAGAAAATGAGTATTTCTGCAACTTTCAACAAAAGGTAAGTGAAAACAAATTTGCAAYGCCTTAGAAATTATCACAGCACATACATAATTTTCTGCATCTTGCTCAGCTGGAAGGAGTTTGGTTAGAAGAAGACCAACTTTCTTACAATTGAACTTCCCAATGGACCAAGGACCTGTGGTTGGGTGAATTTTCCTGGAGCATGCACTGGAAGCAGCTGTTTCTACCAGACTGAAATGGCAGCTCTGCTATTCACAYGAGAGAAAGAGAGGAAAGATGTACAGACAGAAGTTTTTCTAACACTAGACATGTTTGAATTTTGTCCACATGGAATGAKGACTAGGCATCCAGGAGACACACTCTCATGACTGATTTGGGGTCTTCTATGCTTCAGGCAATATAAGGAAYACATCTGGGTTTGTGTTTTAGCAAAATCTTTCTCTACAGCTTTCACAAGGAAGCTGATTCCTTAATATTAAGAATTAGGAATTCTTACAGACCTAGAACTGGTGTAAAATATAATTCTGTAACTATGCTATCTTTATTGTGCTTGATATAATCAGTGATGCTTGATACGATCAGTGGTGCTACTGCCTGTTGTGATACCAGAGAATACAGTGCAATTACTTTCTCTCTGTGGTTTTGCAACTAAACATTTCACTCTTTATGCATTTTTTTGCCTTTGCAATGGAAGGAATAAACAGGACATCAGTGACCTAAAAAGGCAGCAGTAATTTTACATAATTTTTGATTACAGAGAATATTGCCTGAGGACAGTCAAAAGGCTAATGGTCAACACATTTTGCTGGGATAAAAGAACCCCCAACAAAGTCCTGGGTATGTTTGGTTCAAATCAGACACAGATTCACGTCTTACGTTTCACCAGAGTACTTGGTAACACAGGATATAAAGTTTTCAAAAAATTATGGTTTTGAGGAGCCCATATTTTCTGGGGAAGAATCATTTCATCCAAAAGTGACATGATGTTTTTTTCGATATTTGCTTCATAGAGAAAACAACTCATTAAGAAATCACAGTAGAAAACTCATGTGAGCATCAACAAAGAGTATTTAAACTAGTATGAAAGAAATGCCAGCATTTCACAAAGTTCTGTTTTCATGCAGATGCAGTCTGAGAAAAATATCAAATCTTGGTAATAGATGCAAAAAAAGAAACCATACTAAGCACTGATGATTGATTTTTTTCAAGTAGTTAAACCTATACTAAAAAGTTAAAACATTGCATGGCATTTGCACCATAAATTGAGGTAAGTACTGTAAATATGACTAAGATAGGAATAAAAMCATGCAGAAATATTTTGAGAATGTCTTCTGTAATGGGGTTTGAATTGAATCCATAACATATTTATGTCTCCAGCGACCACAACAGAATTATTAAAGTAAATTTGAATGTGGTCTAGGATCTCTTAGTCTTCATTAACAAAATGTATTTGCTTTCCCAAGAGATTTATGCAATACTTCTATTCCAAAATAAATAGTATCAGTCATTCATAGTCCCTTAATTCAGCTGGGTAAATAACTGTAACCTTGTCTCATGGTACACAGACCTTTCACAGAATCTAGTCCAAAACAATGAAAATGAGGACAGACACTTCATTACATATATGTCTTTCTCCCTTCATGAAGACAGTGTAAGAGTAAACACACAAAAAACTCAACCCTGGTTGAGGGCATTCAGATGTCATTGTTAAAGGTTGTAGTAAAATATTTTAGAATTTTTAGAATTCTGTTCCTTCAGTTCTTCCACTCAACTTTTGTAAGAAAGTAGTGTTGCAATGTTTCATGATTCTGGAGTTATTTACTGTATTGTCTGTGCATTAGAACCTTACTCAGCAAAGGGGTTGCACCACACTAAGCACTGGAAGAAGACTTCAGATAGCATCAAACTCCAAGCTCTGAAGTCTGATTTGCACTTAAATCCTTTAATTTCACTGCTCTTCATCAAGATAAGGAGCTTTAATGCCAAAGAAAATAAACCATTTCTCTAGTCTCAATAATTAAATAATTAAATCTAATTATTGGCTAACAGCTAAAAGCAGTGAGCACTTCAGCAGGTATCTCCTTTGGGAGCAAATGTGCTGGTAATTCCCCTGAGAGGCTTCTCACCCATGGTCAAAACCAAGCAGGTGCTTTGTGATGTCCTGGTGGGTGGCAGGTTGCACTATTGGAGGCACTGAAACTGCTGGAAGATACAGGGCTTTCAACCCTTGGAAATGGCTGAGAAAAATCATGCAAAACAAACAATGGATGAGGACCACGTGATGCTCTCCAGAAAAAGGTGATAAATGGAAAGCTCATTGTGTGAGTAATGTGTCTGAGCTTCACCTGACTGCAGCTGGGAAAATACGCTTTTCCTAAGCATGTATTAACTGGATGCCATCGGAAACAGGAGAGAGCACTAGACTGTCTAGAGCACTAGAGCTATTGATCAACACAATCTGGCAGCTCTTACATTCTCATAAAACTCTGAACAGCCAATATACCCTCTCACCAGCTTTAATAATCAGAAATKATAATACTGGGAACTAGAGAAAAACTTGAGTGTTATAAATAATGCTATTACACAGGGATGTGTATTAATTATTGGCACCATAATAAAACCACTATGCTGCTATCTCGGTTATTTCCACAGTAACTTATCCTCTTTTGAGCAGTGACAACCTACAATGATGGATGAGGAAGAAGGACCTGAACTGAAATTGAAAGAAATAAYAAATAAGTGACAAAAATAAGAGTCCAGTACTATATTGTCTTCATTTCTTTTCCCTTGCCACATTTCTACTGACATGAGGAGGTAATTTACAATGTCAAGGAAATCCATGTCTGCCTGTGCTGAATTACTGCATTCATATTTCTACTTGTTTGTAGCGAACGAAACTCGTAAGTCCAGCTACGTAGATGAGTCATACAGGCTGTCTTTCATTTAACAAGGCATCTTTAAATAGTGCTCTTATTTAACTTGTACTCATTACCATCAGCAAGCAATGCGTGTGCCATACTATCCTAATTGCCAGAAATTTGAGCAAGTAAATCATTAAAAGGTTAAGTTATTTTCCATGCTAAATTTAATGTACAGTATTAATCAACTTTATTACATTATTATGAGTAATGCAACGTCCTATAGTCAAATCAATTTATAATTATGCCAGATCACATGGCAGGGGGGAAACAAGAACAACAAACAACAGACGGATGTCATTTCTGCTTAAATTCTCCATGTAAATTACAAACTGTTAAGTCAGACGGGGCTTTCTTTGCAGAGCACAATATCCAGATGGAATCTCACCAGCAGAGCAAGAACTGAGACACGTATGTGTCTCAACTTTTTAAAAACCAAAGTAACCAAATATCTTGGAAACAACACCCAGACTGCTTTATATTTCCCTATTTGATCCTTAGCTCTACTTTTTGGTATTATTTCTGAATATAAATCTTTGAGACAACAGTGAAATTAAGCCATTTTGGCAAAAGATGAGACATGCATGAGACAACTTAATGTTTTGCTGACATCACAGCCATAGGATGGATCTTATTGTCCAGCATGGAAATCTACAGAGGTAGATCTTCAGCACATTTCTGATGAGTGGTATGCATTGGGCACAGAGCATCCTTCCAGCTCCTCCAAAAYGCTATTCTGTACATAAGAAGCATTTCTTTTACATGCTACTTATTCCAAAATATTTTATTCTAGTATACTCATGCTAAATAGAAGAGTACTGGTGGTAAATTCAGAGTCCTTAACACATACTAAACTGCAACCTGTCACCTCCCTGAAGCTTAGAAAGAAAGCTCTTGGGCACCTCTTCCAAAGAAATGACAGAGCTGAATTATCTCTATAATCTGGAGATACAAGGAGGTACAACATGGGTAGTTAAAATATACTTTTTAGCAATGTTAAACTAGTTAGTGGGAAATAATTGTCTATTCATCAATTAGCCAGAAAACTGCAACTGCCCTAAACCTGTTTCTGACAGCTCTATTGAGGATGCRAGCTGATCTCATTTGGTTCATCACAATGAATTTGATTCAAAGTGAGGTTTCCATTTATTTTTTCTGATAGGTTATTTAGCATTAAAAATGTGCTCCTAAAAACTGCTTGTAAGTYTGCTTCCATACTGTTACAGGGCAGGCACCTTCCTAGGCATATTTGCATTCACCTTGTCTCTGCCTTGCATGTATTCACCATTGCTGAGAGTTATATTATTTAATTAGGGAAAAGAACAAAAATTAAGTATTTTAGAGTAACTATACAGGACAGCATAATTTTTCTGCAGAAAAGAACCCCAAACACACACATATAACAAAGACTTATCTCCAAAATAGTTTTGGCAACTGCCCTTTATCTCATGACGTACTTTGAAATGGCAGTTGTTGGCAGGAGAGACAGATGTGATATTTTTATCCTGATAGCCATAAGTCATAGCATTTGTGTATTCTTTGTATCATCAGGAATCAAACTTTTAGGATGTTCTAGATCCCACAAAACTAGCAATTGACAAAGTGTATTATAGATTACACTCTATCAAGGTAAGATAACAAATATTTCTCTTTGTATTACTTTATGTTTTATATTGTAAAATATTATGGGAAAATGCGATGAAGCAGAAATACATAAGGCAAACAAAATTTATTTATATTGCAAACATATGTGGACCATTCATCATTCACTCTCAGAAGGTTAACTGTGTTTGAAAGCCATGGCAGATATCAACATGAAATATCTATTTCAGAACACTTTTGAGAGAGATTATCTTAGGTCAAGCGAAACACACACATRTGTGGCGGCATTGTGTACTTCTAAATGTAAAATTAGGCTTACATTTATAATTAAACCCAGAAAATATACTTTCAGGCAGAACTGGAATCACTGGTTTTGGTTAGATATTAAGTTGAACATTTTGACAAAAATAGTATGCAGGCCACAAGACTGGGGAGAAAAGTGCTGTCAAGAAAATGATGAAAATAGATATTTACCTTGTGCAACTGATAGTATTGCCCGGCACCTACTCCTCCTTGCTCTTCTCCTGTCCATAGCACCAAGCGCAGAGTCCTTTTTGGACGAAGTCCTAAAACACAGTTTTTAATATTGTTTTTAATACTAAATATGGATATATTTGAGCATTTTTTTGCATTGGTGTCCAGCCTCCAACAGATGAAAAACCTGTGTTTCCACAAACCAAACACAATCTATATGAAGTGTGGGTTTTTCTGTCTAGAATACTTGTCTCTTGTTTAGAGAGAAAGACTGGGGAGTGGAGAGAGCCCACATGAGGAAGGAGTGGGCAGTTGTGGTGCTGCTACRGTTGCAGCAGCCCGAGAGAAGCACATTACAGGGACATACTGTAAGTGTCTGAAAACCATACTAGAAAGTAAATGCCTTGATATTAATTTCTGAAACATGTGCTTYCATCATTGTGGTAGTCTGCCATAAGTAATGCAYGTCCGCAAAGCAGCAGATCCAAATCCAATTTTCATGAAAACTACCATTGCTTTGTCATGGTTAATTTATTGCAATTAATTGACAATRAGCTGCCGGATTTTTAAAGGAAATGTTTATCCATTTCAAGAACTGAGGAGCTGAGTAATATTATTTTGCTTTTTATCAGAGAGATGAAAAGCAACAATCTGTACTTTGGAATCTGAAATTCAGTCAGCTGCTGAATGTATGCATGACTTTATGAAACAAGGCGAGCATGAAGCCATTTTCTTTTTTGCTATGGTAGGTCAATTAGAAAGATAAGTTCTCAGATGAATTTTGAAACCATTTTTGCCACGGCAGAACTAATCAGATAGAAGTTGCTATCCTCTATTAATTTGATTGTTTCCATTAATAAAAGAATACATTGAGAGAAACTTGAGAGCATGGAAGAGCAAAGAGATAAAGAAAAAACTGTTCTCTGTGCAGTGGAATGCTAATCATTTTAGCAAAAAAAAAAAAAAAAAGAAAAAACATGAGGAGATTATCACAAGTGATAAAGCATAAAGTACCACACACACTTCTGTGTTGAGGAGAAATAATATCAGCATCACTGTCAAAACTTATTTCATTTCCTTACTGAAATGGATGAAGACTGCCAACAGACTTGACCTTCATTAATCTTTTTTTGACACAATGAATCTGAAGATTTCTTTCTCAAAACTACAATCTAGCAATTCTCAGAACTAATGGCAGAATATAGAAGGAATATCCCAAATCCGAAAAAAGAGCTTGGATTTTACAGTATTTCATAATGAAGTGCAAACAAGTGGTTTAAAGTTGTATTTTCTGAATGTTGATCAGCTGACTGTAAACAGAAAGGTTGTCAAACCTCATTACTTTCAAGACAACCTCCTGCACACATTCCAGTGGATTCCCTGCTCTCCTAAATCACAACAGTAAAGGATTAGCTTACCTTTCCTTTTCAAATTAGTCAGATGGCATATGAGGTAAAATTGAGATAATAATACAGCAATTCGTTTGAAGTTGGAAAGATTTAAACCCAAAATAACCCCAAATGTATCAGCAGCTTGGTTAGAAGAGGTGGCTGTATAAAAGAAAAAGTGCTGGTATAAAACACAGAGGCCAGTGCTATAGTAAGGTTCCAGCAGCACTGCAGTTAAAGTGGGAAAAGGAGATTTATTTGTCATATCACAAAATGCAAAGTCCAATCTCCAGCCTAACACATCAAGCCTGTGAGAGCAGCTTTGGTAGGGAATGCTTAAGACAGGGGAGCCGCATCTCCTGGCTCCTCCCAGGCAAAAATCAAAATGCTTTAGTTTGCCACTGCTGCCCTGAGGAGAACTTGGGGCAGTAATCAGGGTCCTCATGGTTGGCTCAGATGGGCTGTAACCCCAGCTCCTGCTCTCCAGGAGCTCAAGACAATCTCAGCTCATTTGTGCAGAAGATGTTTGAGATTCTTTTGGCCCCCTCCAAGCCCATCATTGCATCTGTCCACTGATGCTGGGGAAATAAAAAGACCCTGCTGGGCTTTGGTCTTTCCAGTCCTGGAGGTAGTGTATCTGCTCTTCCCATCTCACAGATTCCTGTCAGCAGATTAATTTGTGTGTTCTACTGAAATTAAATGGGCAACTTCAAAAAACAAAAAAAAAAAAAAACCCAAACAAGCTATGAAGGTAGCTATTTTAAGTATAAACAAAAACTACAGAGGAAAATTTAATTTCCTCATCATCTTAATCTGAGAGTGACAAGTATTTATCTACCTGTTATTAAGAACAGAGCTAATCTGTCCAAAGAACAGCAAACAAATCCAGTATCCACAAGTTAAATTGCTAAGAATAGTCTCAGTGCATATTTTATTTAAAAAAAGTACTGTATTCAAGTTACAAAATTTTTATTTAATTAAATTTAACTATTTTGATTTGCTTCTACTGGTCCCTAAGCAAGGTATCATCCCCACAAAATCAGAAGTCTTGCGGATCACAGCCCATGTATTGAAAAGATGTGATAAAACAGCAATTGGGCAAGAAAATGATGCTTTATGATGGGTGTAACATGCAGAGGGGTAGGCAGACAATTTTAAAATGAAGAAAAATTGTTACACAAGCAATTGTGCCTCCTTCCTTGTTATCTGTATAAATGTCTTAATACATAGTATTAAAAATATAGAGGATATAAGAAGAAAAACCCTACAGATGAATTTCCAAATCTCCGAAGTTTTATTGTGTTGCTTTTTCCCCCTTCTAACTTACCCTTAACTGGGAAATAAAATAATAGTCTGCCACAAAGGTGGATTTTGCTGATCAGCCTCTATATTCTTATGGTTTATCTCAAGCATAAAAGATAYTATTGGCATGYGGACTYCTAAGTTAAAGAATGAAAYGAAAACATCAATGTGGTTGATCCAYGACTAAGGATACATCTGTAGCAAGCACAGCAGGACCCTTTTTCTGCTCCACTCCCTCTGTGCTGGAGTGGCTGCTATCCTTTCATTCTCCTTGGATACCACAAACACTTCAGTCATACTAACGTGCAGGTCTTATYGTCTCTATTTTTTATTCCTTTTAAATCATCATAGATTGCTCACATTTGTAGATATTAGCAGCAAGACCCAGATTTTTTGTCCTACGTGTATTGCTCATGCTTGACAGAATTGAGAGATTCCCACACAGCAAATCTGAAATGTATTGTTTGGTACATGTCGAGACAAATCATAAGGGCCTGTTACACGTAAAGCAAAAAAATAAACCCACTTCAGTCTCAAAACAGCACACAAGTCAGGAAGAAGAATTTGAATCATCATTTTAAAATCAAAGTAGAGATCAGTACTCTAAACACAAAATTTCTTTCAGTAGCTGTTTTCCCATTTTATAAATATAAATCCTTACTGATGGGGATGATCACAGAGAAAGCATTTTCTAAGAAGACAGTATATAGATGGCTAAGAGGCTTCTTCAATGTCATTGTAAGACCAACCAGCTTACAAAAACATAAAAAGCATTCYACCTGTGTGAAAACAGATATTTTTTYCYKSMARKYCMRGSMMYTGGGATCACACAGAAGCAAATCAAATAGTTGTTCAGCTTAAGTAAGACACATAAGCAAACTACAACTGGATGTGAGCAGATTCACAGTGTCAAGGTTTAACCTCAGCTGACAGCCAARCCCCCTCAGAGCCACTTGCTCACTCCCCCACCAATGGGACAAGGGAGAAAATTGGAAGGATCAAAGCTAAAAAACTCATGWGTTGAGATAAAGACAGTTTAATAGGGAAAGAAAAAGCTGTACACACAAACAAAGCAAAACAAGGAAATAATTCATTCACAAGACCCTGCATAAACAGCCTAGAAAAGCCTTGATCTGAGCATAAAGTAGAATAAATTGCACTGTCAGTCAAGGGAGGTGACTCTGCCCCTCTACCCCGCTGGGAGCAGTGCAGCCAGCTCTGAGCTCCTCAGCATTGGAAAGACATGAACATGCTTTAGCAGGTCCAGGGGAAGGGCACAAACATGATCAGATGGATGGAACTTCTCTTCAGTCAGGAAAGGGTGAGAAAAGGCTCCAGGGAGACCTTAGAGGAGCCTTCCAGTAACTGAAAAGTCAATGAGAAAGATGGGGCCAAACTTTTCAGCAGGACCTGYGGCAATAAGGACAAGGAGMGATGGTTTTAAACTAAAGGAGGGTAGATTCAGATTAGACCTAAGAAAGATGTTTTTTCTCAATGAGGGTGGTGAAACACTGTCACAGGTTACCCAGYGAGGTTGTGGATGCCCCATCCCTGGAAACATTCAAGGACAGGGTTCAGAGCAACCTGATCATGTTGAAGCAGTTCCTGTTTATTGCAGGAAGGTTGAACTAAGTGACCTTTAAAGATGCTTTTCAACCCAAATTATTCTCTATGTTCTCCTAATTTTAATACTGCCTAAGTCACTAATGTATTTGTTTTAGGAGCTGCTAGGAAGATGTATGTACAGATATATCATCCTCAAATACTGCTCTCTGCTGCATTTAACATACATGAGCTGTGGCCGCTTCTCCATTGTTACCCTGTGGCTTGGAATTTCTCAAAAAATATTTATACAAACATATTTACAAGTATTTATAAAAAAAGTATCAAGTTTTACATAATGATGTTGTCGACATTCTTAAAATTCCTATTGTGCTCCCTACCTTTTTCAAGTTTGTAGTTGGTTAGCCAAAGGGGATTTACTGGGTGCCATTAGTTGGAATATTTCTATCATTCATGCACTTCTCATAAAATACCTGGAATTTCCAAAATTTATGCCACAGCCTAAGATAAAAATAAAACCAGTACTCCACATTTTGCTAAAAAAGGTAAGAACTCATCATCAAAAACAGTGGTGCAATCCGCTGTTACCTGATTTATGTATTCTGTGGTATGGGCAAGCAAGAGAAAAAGCTCTTACCCTAACAACCTCTTTCYCTGCCTAAGTTCAAAGGATATACATGCAGAAATAAACTGTAATCAGTAGCATGATAGCAATAACACAGCTAATTGAAGACGTCCAGACTCTTTCTCTGAACACCAAGAAGTCTCCATTCTAAACCAGAAGGAGCTTGGCTTTCCTTCTGTTTTTAGAAATACAGCCCTCCATAGTTCAGACAACT